TCTCTTCCTCTATCTCTACCATCTATCTGTTCCACTTCACTCTCTCTCTCTCTTTTCCCTCTCTCTGTGTTTTTCTCTCTCTTCTCTCTCTCTCTCACATTAGGCTCAGAACTCACCTGAAGAACTGTCCCATCCAATGTTTGTGCAATGAAGCCCATACCCACAGCAGCACAGCCGTATAGAACCACTTTGGAAAGAGAGAGAGAGATACCGAGTTTTAGTTCTAGTGTGTGTTTTACGGCACATCCTGCACAACTAGGTCTTACAAGTGCATCAGAATAAAGTATCATCTCCCTTTTTTGGGTAGTGTTTCACGGCGCTCGCACGGTCATATGAGCGCGAGGGACACATTAAACATTTTCAATTGGTAGGAAATTCTGAATTTTACCCCGGTGGCGGCCGAAGCCTACTCTTATCGATTTTGGACCACTGAGGGATATTTTACGTGAGCAACTTACACACGGGACCTCCAAAATTTTTTACCCTTGTCCGAGAAGGTTAGGTGTTGATCTTTCCTACCAGAAGATCAGGGGTGTGGCTGAAAGACAACAGTAAGGAGGAGCCAAGTAGTAGCAGTAGAAAGGCTGTAGAAAGAGTCAGGAGCCTAGAGGAGTGGGCAAAGGAGGTGAGGGGGTTGGGACAGAAAGTGGGGACGAAAGAAGACGACATAACATTTCTAGAGAGCAGAACAGTCAGTGAAAGGAAAACATTTTAGAAAAACAAATTTCCTTCGACGTCCTGATTCGAACCCAGTATCTATTGAATGAGAGGTGAATGCCTTAACCTCTAATCTACGAGAGCCCCTATCATCTCCTGCCCACAAACCTTTCTTCCATAACCATTAACAATGTCAGATCCAGTGGCTAAGTGAGTAGTGATTGTAAACTCAAAAGTGCTGTCAAGCAAGTGTCGGTGACACGAGGTTTAGGCGGGTGGTCACTTGGGTGTGTCCTTGAGCAAGACACGACAAACCTTGCTAAAATATAAAAAAACCAGGGTGCAATACAGTGGCGACGGGCAATGGCATAATATTTGTAAAATTATTGTGTATCGGTGTAATATTGTGTATTTATGAATGTATTTTTGTATGTATGCATTTCTAATTTGGTACTTATGTATATAGGTGTGCAGTTGCAACCCAAATTTTCTTAATGGGAAATTAATAAAATATTAATTTATTATTATTACTATCATTATCATTATTATTGTCCCCTCCTGCCTTCAGATGTTCCTTCCATTCCCATTAATTTTAACTCTTTATCTCCGAGGGGGGGGGGGGACCACTACGCCGGTTCCCTTTTGTGGTGCTAAATCTAAAAATGACAAAAACGTCATTAAATGGGTCATTAATTCGACACTAGTAAACCTATTTTGATAGTTCTTCATCTAATGAATGACCGTCTGGTATGAGAGACCTGTTTGCGGTAATTGCCGAAAAGTAATTTGATGTCGAAGTCGTCGTAAAGGAATGTGTCCGAGCCACTGACGGAGCCATTAAAGACGGAGGAAAGATGGTATCTCAAGAGGGTCGGGGAGAGAAAACAACCTGCGTGGAAAGCCAGACAAATATCCAACCAGCTGTTAACTGACACGATCAGCAGGCAGACCCTTTCATGGATCTTGGAAAGTAGGGAGTAGCAGGCTACAGGACTATTGTAATCCCATAGATGTACACTGTAGGCACTGCAGCCATTAAAAGGCCTTTTGAATAGGAAAATTCTGCCACCACAAAGAGATAATAGATAATAATAGTTTAAAAAGGGGTAACTCTATGAGTAATCCTCACATTGCGGGTGTGTAGGTTCAAGCCTCAACGTGATGTGTCCTTTGGAAAGGCATTTAACACGGATTTCGCGCTTGGCACGGTCCTTTCTGAGATGGACGTTACACTCGTAGGTCCCGCCTCTTAAATGACCTAACAGTGTTAAAAGGAGCTTTAAAACAAAACGAATTTCCAATTATTAATTTTTACCTGGGAGGAGCAGCTATGAGTACCGCCTTTGTTGATACCTATTCTCAAACCAAGTAGTTAAGTAAGTATGTAATCATAAACACTTTTATGATGATGATGATGATGATGATGATGATGATGATGATGATGATGATGATGATTTCTAAGAACCAAGTAACCACGTGAGTAAGTAAGTAACCATTAACACTATTATTATCATCATTGTCACAACCGTTATCGTTACCCAAAACCAATGATGATGATGATGATGATGATGATGATGATGATGATGATGATGATGATGATGATGATGATAATACTGATAACGATGATGATGATGATGATGATGATTACGACGTATAAGAACCAAGCAACCATGTAAGTAAGTAAGTAAGAAACCATTGACACTATCATTATCATGATAGTCACAACTGTTATAGTTACCCAAAACCTTGGTCAACCGTGTCTTGTTGGCCTCGCTCAGTCTGTGGTCAAGAGGTATCTTCAGGATATCCTCCCAGGTGATGGCTGCCAGGGCAGCTAGAGAAGACGACACGGAGCTGTGAAGGGAAAACAATTCAGGGTTTTTTTAGTAAAAGTTTTACGTCACTTCCGACACAATATGGTCTTTAAAGTCGTACCAACAAATAATTTCTGTTTCATTTTAGTAAGCGTTTTACGTCACTTGCAACACAATATGGTCTTAAAAGTCGTACCAACAAAGTATAGCAGTTTTGTTTCAGTAAAAGTTTTACGGCACTTGCAACACAATATGGTCTTAAAAGTCGTACCAACAAATTTTAGCAGTTTTGTTTTAGTAAGCGTTTTACGTCACTTGCAGCACAATATGGTCTTTAAAGTCGTACCAACAAATAATATCAGTTTTGTTTTAGTAAGCGTTTTACGAGCATTTGCTACAAAATAAGGTAATAAAATTCGTACTAACAATATTATAATAGCAGTTTGGTCTTAATAACAATTTTACGGCACTTGCTACACAATGAGGTAATAAATTATTTCGTACCAACAATTATAACAGCAGTTTAGTCTCAATAAGAATTTTACGGCACTTTCAAGACAATAAGGTAATAACAGTATCAAACATACCAGTTTTGTTTTAGTAAGCGTTTTACGGCACTTGCAACGCCATAAGGTGATATCAGAGACTAGGTTTGGGGTTTTTTTTGATAAGATGGATCGGAAAAGTAAAGTAAAGTAAAGTAAAATAAGATTTTTAAAAATAAATTATCAGTGTTTTGCGGCAATTGCAACACAGTATATGATATCAGTGCCTAAAATTACTTTTTTGTTTTAATACGAGTTTGGAGTTATTTTCTTCTCGTTTTGGTAAGTGTTTTACGGCGCTCACAGCTACATAAGGTCATACGTGCACGCGGGACACATTAAAGTGTAAGTGATTATATTATGAGCGTAAGTGTGTGTGTTTGAGTGTGTGTGTGTGTGTGTGTGTATGTGTGTGTGTGTGTGTGTGTGT